TGTTTCAATAATTCGGCCTAATAGGTCAATTGATTCTGCAGTGATTTCATATGCAAGACATAAATTCATAATTTGTAACATTAAAATAAAACAATCAATATGCCCATTAAGATCTGTATTTTCATTTAATATCCATTCGTTAATTAAGAGTGGTAAAGTGTGAATCAAAACAAACATTTGTGCTGCACTTTGACGTAAAGGTTTATCAATAGCTAAATCACTTCTTTGTATCGCAGCAGGTTTATCTTTACTAAAATGCTCAAAGTGAAATGAAACTAATTTTTCATTTAAATCATTGATACAAAAAAGTTCTTTTTCTATGATGCAATAGCATAAAAATAGTCGACATGTAATTTCTGCTACTCCTTCAATTAAAATGTGCATGCAATCTTGTGGCAGGCATATTGTAATGTCAAAATGAGGAATTTCCATCAAGGGACTTCTGTTATTGACTCCGTAAGTTTTCTGCCAAAATTCTTTTGCTCTCTTTGTAAGATTGGGTTCGTTAATAGCACTTAAATGATCATTATGATCATTTTTATTTCGCAAAACAAGATCACTTTCCTTAAAATAGTTTTTTAAATCGCCTTTTGTAATCATGCAAGAACGACATGGATGATTAGCAGCAACGGATTCTTTGAAACCCCCGATTAATGCTGATGCAGGAGTATCACCTGCAAAGAACAGCAACGATCCTCTATAATTTTTTTTAGAACCATTTATGTAAATATCAATTCCTTCGGTCTGTAATTTAACGATATCATCGATAAAAGGTTTTAAAATTTTTTCAAGAGCTTTGGATTCCTTTGCATAATTACTCTTTACAATAGCTAATAATTGAATCGCATTTTGTGATGATCTTAATTCAGGTTTAATGTTTGCAAGGACCCAATAAAACATTGATAATTTGTGAATTTTAGAACTAGAACCTAATGGATTAGCAATCCCGAGATCATCATAGTATAGAATTATCGCTAGAGAATTTTTATTCTCTCGAAAAAATGTATTTGCTTGATAATAACTTCCATCTAATACTGTCCGATAAATGCCATCTTCATGTTCCAAAGGATGATCTATATTAGATCGAATTTCTTCATTCATCAATAGATTTCTTAAATTATCCATGAATGGAACGATATAAGCATCATGTTGAACCTCACGCAAATCGACATGTGTATCAGTTGATTTCTTTTTTTTTCCATTCCAAACTTGTAGAAATGTTTTTTGTTTCTGGGGTTACCATGTGCATTTCTTTAATAAGAAATTTATCCAATGCATTTTTTGTGCTCACCATTGAAAAAATAATTGTAGGAGGATATTTGTCAACAAGTACATTTCGAACATCTTCGAAGTGAAGAACTTGTGTTTGAGGATCTTTTAGTCTTTGACATTCTTTCTGAAAATTCGATAAAATAATATTATATAAAACTAGATTTTTAGGATATTATATTCCACTACGGAAAAATTTTATTTCAATTATGTAAATTATTTATTAATCATATAAGTGATTTATTTTAATAGATTCAATAAAATATAAGCTACACTCAACTTTATATCTACTTGCATTATTTATTCTGATTGAATAAATAATAGTCTAAAAAATAAAAATATGTAAAAAATTGGAATTTTTGAAGCTACCAAATAATGATTTAATATTATTACAAATAATTTTCTAAATAATAGAAGATTTATTAAAAATTACTCATTTACTTCAAACATTCCACTACTCTTGCTTGAATTATTTGGATTTAATAATTTTTTTTAATAAATATAAATTAATACTTTTATAAATAACTTACAATTATAATTAATGAATAAACCTCAACCAAAGATGTAATACCATCAATAATGTGTTTCATAGCGTTTTGTGAAACCTTACAATTTTCACGAATATCAATTAAGAATTTCGCGGAGTGCCATTGAAGACGTTTTATTGGCGATTGAAATAATTCTTGGTCAAAATCTAAAAATTCAACAGAATAATATAAATTTTTTTCAAAATATAAGATTAAATTTGTACATTGTCGAGTTTAACTGACTCTGCTGTTGAGGCTCTTCTTCACCGATTAGCAATTCGACTTCTGGTTCTTGTATTATGTTATTAATAGCTACTGAAATCATTGGATGTTTTCTGAAGAGATGTTGGCGAAACGACTTCCATTTCTGATATGTTGCACCACATCCATCTTGCGTACATTTTACTTTAAAATCTGGGTTGTGTCGGTGATATCGCACGATGTGTTTCATTAAAATATCATTTGATTGACAGGTAAAAAAACACATTGTGCACTTTTGTATATGACAACTCTCACTATCCATATTAAATATTATTTCAAACACGTTAAATCACACTATGTATTTAGCGAAAGCTCTCGAAAAAATTGAAAATTCTACCACGGATTGCAGCTCAAAGACGTTAGCACACAAAGAGGCCGAGCTGGCCGAGCACTCTCGGCCTCGTACTTTTATAAGACCGCTTCTCCAGAATATTCGAGATCTGTGTTCACTTCAGAGATATCGTTATTTCGAACATTCTGGAGTGTTGGAAACTAAAAACCAAATAACGCTATTGTTAAATGACTTTTATTAAACACAACAGAAACTCAACATTGTTCTGACTGTGAAAGAATCTAACTAACAATAAGATCCGATCACGTGACTCATCATGTGACAGCGCTGCTCAGGGGCCTTCCTGCGCGTCGCTTTCGATCGTCAACTGTATTTGGCTGGTACATCAGGGCGCAGTGGAGGAAGCCAT